TCCATTATGTTCTTTTTTCTTCCTCCTTCTGTTTTAAAAAAACTTTCCTTTTACCCAAACCATAAGTTCTCGTCCACCCAATGTTTGAGAAAGCATGTTTATTAAAAAAAAACTCAAATCAGAATGAATACCACAAGAAGAATGATCAGAAAGCTATTGTCTTATGTACAGAAGTGAAAATTCTTGCAGAGAAATAAAAATATTTAATCAAATCAATATAAACCACCAAACCAATAAATACTAGATACTGAACGAACACCTTAACCACATAAATACAGAAAGGCATTTCTCACCCTGACATGCATCCCCAAAATGGAAAAAATAAAGCAAAAGTGAGTCAGTGTAGGGTAGTCACTCAAATGACCTTTGCCAAAATGGGCAAGTTTTGTAGCCTCCGTGGCTCTGCTGTTCTCTTGTTTTTCTGATCTGTGTTCAACTTTTAAGTTCAGAGTTTGAAAATTAAATTCAGCAGCATGTTTCTGATATACAAAAAAGGTTCAGAAGAGTTTAACTAGTTGAAAAAAGAAACTACCAGTAAAAGGATTCAGCCTAAATTCCAGATGCGTTGCTCAGCTGTGACAAACTCTCAGACTTTTAATGAAGTCTCTCACTCCCTACAATTACATTTTTCTCGGATGGGTGAAAAGGCAGTCATCTTAAGGAAAGCAGCATTTATGGAATGCTCATCAGAAAGAAAAGACGCAATAATTCTTAATTGCTGGCTTGGGAAGAACATCTGATGGACCAAACAGCCAAGAACAGGCTGGAAAACACAAAGGGAAGGTATATGGCTAAAAAAGTACTATTTAAACATTCTGAATTTTTGGTTTTAATTGGAGAACATCAAAGGACATCTCCTCCTTTTGCTAAGTGATAGGAAAAACAGAGAATCCCAGTGTGGTTCACCTCATGCAGACTAGATATTGTTTAAAATACTTCTAATACATTTATTTCAGCTTCCTCAATGATGTTCAAAACCCCACGGCTTACCCACAGACAGTGACTTACACAGGCTCATGGGTGATGGAAATTTCTCCCAGTACATGTTTTTAATTAGACAGAAATCACCACAGGAGACACGACAGACCAGGTGAGATGCCACCTGCCTAGCAGCATCTCCGTAGAAACAGAACTCCCTAGAAACAGAACTGCACTTTCATTCTTCCTCTCACGTCAGCACGGATGGTTTCTAGCAGAAGAGGTTTACTGTGGAAACACACAGTTCTTATGGTTCTGGAGTATCTTGAGCTAAGTCCTCTGCCATCCACAGCTGTCATGTATCCATTGTACTGCTTTTGTATTTATTCCTTCAGAATTAGGACAGACATTATCATCACGTGCCTGCATATGTGAAAGCAGCAAATAAAGATGTTTCCCTAGGCCCCTTCAGTAAAGCAACAAAGATGCAGATTTTTGGCAGAACATTGATGCACGCAGTGGAAACAGATAAATACCATCATACTGCTCTTAGTAGCTGACTTACCAAATCAATCATTATTGTGAAGAAAAAACAATCAATTTGTTCCTTAGAAACCTTTAACCCCTAAGCAATATGTATTATTGGCAATCTATTGGAAATAAATAAGCAGAGGGTTGTTTGATAGAACTTTCATTAAGAAGGAATCTTCACCTTCTAGGAAACCAGAAAAACACATTAAAAATGCATTTATCAAGGCTTCACACAAACCTATGGTAATAAGATCTTGTTCAAAGTTAAGATTTAATTAATCAAGCTGCACTGCCTATGGACAACATGTATTAAACTATCTGAAGCACCTCTAATATTTTTTAATAATCTTTTTTTAGATCTTAAGAAAAACGGTCTGATTATTTAAATTCAAAATCTCATGTAAATCCAGAGCAGCTATGATCAATAACAGACAATTCATGTACAAAGAGAAAAAATGCTGAATTTTAAGTATCTAGGCCATGAGATACAAGTGAAAAGTTTTAGCTCTCAGCTTGATTTCTCCTGCATTTTGTCTACTTGAAGACTGTGAACTTTATAATATAACCCTTTTTTTGGTTTTTTTTTTTAGCATGTTCATTAGTTTTGGTTACTAATCCTGAATTCACATATATGTAGCACCATGGTGTTTATTTTCCCAGCCACCTTTTCTGGACTTGTGATTAGTTTTTCCTGCTTTTGCTTGCTATAAATATTACTACACACTGACACAATCAAGCCAAACAACAAAACCACTGCAAATGACTAGCCACACTGGCCTGTTAAAAATACAAAACAAGCAGCTGAACTGGAGATTCCATTTTGTTTCACCCTCATGACTTTTCTGCTGGCTGTAGTGCTGATAAGCACTGCTTATAAAAAGAAATATTATCTACATTTCAAAAATGCACAGAGTCCTCATATTGAAGGCTTTTTAAATTTAAGAACATAAGCATTGCATATGACTGTGCCTTAAAATGGTATCGAAGAAGTCAGAAGCCAGCTCCTGGCCCAATTAAAATCCATTCAAATCTCATATGCAAAGCGTTCAGGATTCTCGTTTGTAGTCCCATTTAGATAGATGACACAAACTTTAGCCTCAAAATTAGTACTCGCTTTATGCAAAGTGTTATGGATTACTTACATTACCACAAAGCAAACAAAGTCTTCAGATTTATAAGATCCCCAAAATAATAAGGGCATGGTGGACTAAAAGATTCTCCCCTTTGGCATCCACAATGCCACCACATCTCATATAACAATATCTCTTCTAAAGCATTAGCTCCTATGTTTTAAATACATGAAGGCAATTTTATTAAATAAAACAACAACAACAAAAAAAGAAAACAAACAAAAACAAAAAAAGAACCAGAATGACCAGAATGCAATGCACTCCCTTCCCAGAAGATATGAAATTGCAAACTTGTCATAAACAAAGGACTGAGAATTAAACTGACAACTCAAGAAAACTGCGAAAGGGATTTCATATTAAGTAACCAAACAGGGTTACACTAAAAAGATTTGGCATGTCTCCCTCTTAACACACCAAAACTATCTTTTCCATCTACCTAGATCTACCAAATCACCTTCCCAGCATTCTTACATTTTTTAGCTGAAGAGCTAATCTGTAAATACTTCTGATAGCCTTTCAATAGGCTGGCCTTCCACCTGTTAAAAGACAGCATAGTAACCAGAAAGTTTGCTGTGTTAAGGGAAGATAATGCACTAATGTAAAATAGAAGTATCATTTTAAGCTACAACTAGAAATGTCCAAAACTCAGAGCAATGATTCACAGTACCCAGCCAACCTTGAACCACCATTACTTTGTAGAAATCAGTTTGGCCTAAAAGCTCATTGATATATCAAACTCAGACCACATTTTCCAAGGAAGGCAAGCTGTCTTTCACTAAGGTTTACATTTCACTCATTAAACATCCAAAACACTCATCTAAGGCGCACTACAACACTAAATGTTCTGCTTTTTCAGAGTTTCCTGTGGTCACCCATTATTATTCACCCAACACTTAATTTTTCTGTACAAACACACACAAATGCACAAAATTCAACAGCAACTGTTCTCCTTCCCTCCTGAACAGCACTTCTGGGCAGTCTATCCTGCTCCTTTCTCCCACAGCATTAGAGACAAACACAAACACGCACCTCACTTTTGATCTGGCAGCACACAGGGAATGAACACATTCTATGTCACCACCACCTTTTGGGAAGAATAGACATCACGTGCTTGCTCCTGATATGGGCTGCAAAGGAAGGTGCAGGTGGTCCAGATTTAACAGCAATGCAGCAGAACCCGGAATATTATGACTGGAATATTGGCAAGTTATTTGGGACCCCATGGGCCACAGCTGCAGAGCAGACACAAAACTGCAGCCATCTGGGTGTATTCTTATCAGCTGGTGTAACATGACGCATGCCAAAGACAAGAAAAACGCTACACGGCTGATCTGCCCTACACCCACATTAGCTCACTCTTAATGTATGCAGAGTCAGGCAAAGATCGCTGCCTTCTAAGTACGAAAACAGCCAGATCTGCAATGCACTCTCTAAACGAAACTGCAATTCCACAGCCCAAAAAATCTACAACAGGACAAAGCAAAAAGATGTAGTTTTCCATCCTAGACCCACAGCCCCATCTCTCTTAAAGAGATTTATGATGGCAGTAAAACAAGTCTTCGTAGACTGCTCCTATTGACTCTGATTTTTACAGAAAGCAGATGTAATGCATACGGCAGCACCGACCACGACTGTGATTCGGGCATTTACTGTTATCAAACTGCTTCTCCGGGAAAAAAAAAAAAAAAAAGAAAAAATCAAGACGCCTTTTCCTGAAACCAGAAGGTGATGCTAGCAGATTTCACCTTCCCCCAGCCCAGGGGTGGAGAGCACGCTCCACGGGGAGGACGGAGAGATCCAGGCCCCTTTGGGTTCCCTGCTGCAAACCGGGACGCGGCCGCAGACCCCGGCAGCATCTCCCGAGGAAGGGGCGCCGAGTCCGTCCTGCTGCGACGGCGACCATTCGACCGCCGGCTGCGAAATCCCCACATGGCCCCCACCCCCTCCCCCGCCCCCCTCCCATTTCTCCTTTCCACCACAGAAAAGGTGCGCGTGGGAAAAAAACACCTAAAAATTTAAAAAACAGCAAACCAGCGCACTGGGGTATGCACGGCTCCACACAACATTATCCTACACACATCCCATCCCCACCAAATAAAATAATGGAATAAATAAACGGAGGGAAAGCACGCAACGCCTCGCCGCAGGCCGGGATGGAGGCGGTCATGGCCGCGTTGGCGCCGCTCCCCGCAGCCCGGGGCAGGTGCAGAGCTGCCCCGCTGGCTCGGAGATGCGCGCACGCCCACCCAGCCAGACAGAGGCCGCCGCAGCGCCCGCGCCCCGCTGCGGGCAGGAGCCACCGAGCGGGACAGGGCCGGCATCCCGCGCCGGGCACCCGCACCGCGGGCCCGCTGCCTCCCCGACACCGCGGCGGGGGCGCGGCCGGACCCCCTCCCGCTCCCGGCCGCGACTCCTCCGCACCTGGTGCGGGTCCGCGCCGCCTCCTCAGCAGGCAGGGCGGCTCCGGCGGGGGCGGCGATGCAGCGCAGGGCGGAAAGCCCAGCAGCCGGCCGCTCCTCCCGCAGCCACCATCTTCCTCCTCCTCCTCCTGCCGCCGCCAGCACCGCCCGGGCTGGCCCCTCCTGCCGCACCGCCCTCACGCGTCAGCGTGCCCGCCCGCTCTCTCCCTCCCTGCCTCCCGCTGCCCCCCGGCGGGAGCGGGGCCCGACGGGCGTGGGCGGTGCCGCACCGCGGGCCCGGCCGGCTTGGAGGGGTCTGCGCGGCTTGGCTGCTCCCAGCGCGGCTCCGGCCTCTCGCCGGTCACGGGCCCGGCGCTCTCCGGAGCGGCTGCCCGCGCCTGGGCAGCTCGGAGCGAGGGAGGCCCTACGGGCACCGACCTGTCCGCCTCACCTTCCCTGGGCGCGGGCCCCGCAGCCTCGGTGGCCCAGGAGGGAGGAGGCTCCCACCGCCGTGAAGGAGGTGTGAGGGTGCGTGTGCCAAGGCACCGCATCCGCATCGCAGCTGCGAGCGGGCCTTGGTCGTACTGCTCACCTGGGGAGAAGCTGCAAAAGCCGAGGTGCAGCACAGGTAACCAAATTGTGCACGCAGCCTGCAGGGAGGCTTACTGCTGTGCTAGAAAGGGCTTGGCAGTGCCTCTTTCCCAAAATACCTACGCCCGTGTTCACATACACAAACACAGTGTTGGACCTTAGGTTGCATCTATAGCCCAGCCGTAAACTATCTCGTATCTTCTCCAAGCTCCTGCTTCCTGTACTTAACTGCCCCAGTGATTCCACACATGCAAACAAAATCCTAAAGTCCTCAAGACAGTGTCTTGCATTTTATGGTATTTAAACAAAATAAATTTTCAGAAGAAATACACCATTTCTTTTTCTCAGCCAGATCGATACCCAACCAATTTCATTTTAAAAAGCCAGGGGACTTTAAAAAAACCTAACAACTGATGAAAAGTTGTAGTATTAGCAACATAAATTGGTACGTTTTGACAGTATTGTTAATTTATCTGTTCAGGGACCACATTGTGTTAAACATCTGTGAAGTGTTTAGGCAGACGCCACTATCATAAGTAATCTATAGATAAAGGCTTCTAATTAAACTACTGTGATAACTTGGTATTAGTTTGGATTTAAATTCTGTTTTCCCCTTTCTGGTGGATAGATACTTTTTGGTTCTTGGTAACACTACCTATTCCCCTGTTACAATATAGTTCAGTCACTCTGTATTGCACAGCTGCATTTTTAGATTCCCAGTGCCAAAATGCTACAGTATTCTCCAAATGAAGGCTTCAAAAATGAGAGTATGAAAAAACATGTTGAGAAGAATGAAGGAAACACATTTATTCTGTAGACAACTGCTACCAAAGTCCCTTCCTCTGTTTTTAATACATTGTAATACTTCATTTCTTTCCCTCCTGTGCTAATAGTTTCTATTCATCGCTGTTTTTCTATCCTGTTCTGCAGGAAGCTAACATTTGTAGCGAAAAAAAAAAAAAAAAAAAAGGAGGAAAAAAAAATTTTTAGAAAAAAAAAAAAAAAAAAAAAAAAAAAAAAGCCTGGAGGCCATGTCTGTTCCCTTCCTCTTTGCTATGTCCTACATATATGGCCCTGGAACAGCCCTGGGTTACCACAGTTTGAGGTGTATAGAATATGCATGACAGATTTCCAAAACTATCAGTTCTTGGAGAGTTTCCTTAAATAAAGCACTTCACTTGCAATCAAGCTCCTTCCCCCTGTCCTTCCTCTCAAAATAATGGAGAAGTTCGTCCCGAAGTGATCTTTGTCCTTCTCCAAGAGGGACGTTTGCCCAGGTGACCTCTAGGGGTCCCCCCCAACCTACGTTTTTCTGTTACATTTCTATCGTTTAAAAAGATTAACAATAGCAGTCTCAATGACTGCTAAATTATATCCTAGAGAAGTTTCATGTCCTAAACGCATTTTTCTCACAGAGCTCCGGTTACCGCATGTGTTTCACAGCCCATGATAGCAGGTCTCCTAGCACATAAGTTGTCTGTAAACCTCAAGTGACGGACACTGCTAGAATGCAACAGTTTTTGTATTTCTAATGCTGCATTAGCATTGACCTTCAGGCTCTTGTTTTCATTATCATCCTCATTTAGTGAAATTTCAATACAGAAAATTAAAATCAACTGAAAAATATGTAGGAAAAGCACCAAGACTAATCTGTAACATTTATAAAATCAAGTAGCGCTGCAGATAAATCAATACTGTCTGCTGAATATTAAATTATAACCTTCTGAGGGTGACAGTTTTGTAAGTAGCTGTGATAATCAGCGACAAATATGTATCAGCCAGCTTCTGACATATTCAGACAACCTTGCTATGTAAAAAGTGCTATTTACACTGAACTAATTTTTTCATTGCATGGGGAGGTGGGGGAGGGGGGTAGGGAGGGAAGAGGAAGGGGGGTGTTGCTATTTATATACCCATTAGCCTAGATAAAAGCTTTGGCCCCGACAGTTCAGAAACATTTTTCCTACATTAGTCTACTAATCTAGTCAGTTTCTATGTGTTTTCAGGAACTGGACATTGCAATGATCTTAGGTGTGTGTGACGTTATTTTCAGACTTGGGCTAAAAGCAAAACAGCTCTCGCAGGTTAAAAGACGAATGCAAGCTTGATATTTTTAAGGTCATATAGCTCAAGACCCACAAGGGCTGGAAATTAATGCTTTCTACTGTCTGAAAGCTTAGGATTACAGCTTTCATATCTCAAAAAGCATTAATCACTCACTGTAGTGGTGTGTGCATTACCTGTTGCTAGAAAAGAATAGGCTGTTTCAGGGGTGCTTGCTGGCACTGAAATAGTGGGTTTCAGAAATCAAAATGTTTTCAAATTCTGGTACTGGCCCAATGAACTAAAGGAAGGCAGTTTTATTAATATCTTCCAGGTTCAACCATCTTATTTTCTTTACTAGCTTCTTGGTCTGAAATAACTAAGTCAATAGCATGGGATCAGATCTATGGTTTTCAAGCATAAAAATCCAATTTTGTCAACTATTCTGACTTCCCATATAAAATTTCAGTGTGCCTTTATCCAGTCTGTCTGTAACTCCTTAGCAGCACAAGAAACACTTAGGTTCCACAGGCAGTGATTTTCCATGTCAGGGAATGATACCTTAACAAAACCTCCAAGCACTCCTGCAATCTCCACATGCACAAGGAGGATGCTCTTCTTTATCACTTCAGTATGTGTAGTCTTTAAGGTAGTATTGGAAGAAATCAAACACTTTATTCTGTAAATGCTACTTCTGTCTTATATTTGATTATATTTTATGACACATGAGTAATACAGCCTCTAATCAATTGGGATTCAACACCACTTTAAGCCTTCTAGTGCTGTTTCAAACATTAGTCACTGTTCCCAAAAAGTTGAGGTGCTTGCTTTACAGAATGTGAAAAAAATCCAAGTTAATTCTATAGTTAATGAAGTGACTAGATTTTTTTCTGGTAAGGATATCTTCAGCAACAAGCCAAATGATGTCCTCACTGGTGGGCTGGTTCCTGGAGTCAGGTACTTCTGAATGCAGTGCCATAGAAATCAGTCATAGGATCAGCCCAAACTGCTTGGCAAAACAAAGCTAGAAGTAGGCTCAGGTCCAGTTTTTTAACCCATAATGTCATGGTTTAGGAAGGTATTCCCCAGTTTAGTGCTGGCACTGAAACATTACAAATCATGCACTGCCCATTCACTCCCCTGCCCCCTCTCTTTCCCTCATCTCTGCAGAAGGCTAGAGAGAACTGGAGGTACAAAAGGCTATGATCATGGATTGAGATAGGAACAATTTAGCAGAAGCAGGAATGAGATAATAAATGAACAGTAAAAGCAACTGAAGGATTCACGTGTGCTCACCATGCAGACACCCTTTACGGCTTGCTTCCCACTACCTGACTGGAAGAGATCCCTTCCTCCTGTCCCTGTGCACAGCATCAGGTAATATAGAATATCCTATAGGTCCTGGTCCATGCCCCTCCTGGCTACTGCAGAAATTAACCCTGTTTTGCCTGGAACACAGGGCCTTCTGCCTGTAATTCCACATTTTAAAGCAATGATTTGGCACTACGGTCCTTCTGATTTTGGATTTCAGCAAGTTTTCAGCCTCAGTTGAGGCACTTCCACTATTAACCCCAAGAGGTCCAAGAGAGAGCAAAAGAAGAAACACCCAGCCAAGGATAAGCTCCCTTCTGCTAACAAAGAGAATCCAGCATCGCTTGCATATGGAGACTTTCAGAAAGTGCTGCAAGTCTTGTTATTTCAAGATGATGTTTGTGACAGATATCAGGTGCAATCTTGTACCACTTGCTCTTTGAAGCACCTAAATGTCACAGCTATACTACGCAAAAAATGTATCCATTATGTCAGACCTGCTGTTTGAACACTTAGCACCTTAAGCCTCACCACACTGCCTGACAGTAGGGAAGTGCTCCTTTCAAAACCAGTTGAAAGAGTGCCAGTAAAACCAATTTTTTAAAAAAACTTTATTTTCAAGTGGACAATAATTGTACGTGATCCCTTTTCATGTGTCAGTCTCATAATACTGTGATACCTTGCTGATGAGAATGCTGTAGGAATGCAACACAAGTCTGATGTAGTCAGTCTCTTGGTCAAAGCTCAGTGAATACAAAAAAAAAAAAAAAAAAACAGAACAAAAAACCCAGCCCAGCTTAATTTACTCCAAATTAATGAGAAAATCATTCAGCTAGCAGGCTGTATTCAGACCAAGGGAGCTAATGAATAAGAATAAAAAACGCGAAGCATTTCTACTCAAATACAAAGCAAGTGAAATAAAAAAAAGGTGTAGCAGAGCCAACACAAGAGATGCTGTCATAGCAGCCAGGGATATTTGTGTAGTTTGAATGATGAGTAAAATTGGATAATAAAGCCTTATGGAAAATGGAAATAACCTTCATGTTCTCTGAAGAAACAAGAGGAACAGACTAAATGAAAACAATGGTCTGTCTAGTCTTGCGTATACACTTGTATTTACTTTCATTCAAATAATGAGCTAGTAATATATCTGAAGTCTGGTTTTTAAGGTGATGATGAAGCATAGCAATAAATGGAC